AACTACTACTACATTTTTTTTTTTTTTTTTTTTAAAGAACTCATACTCATCGTGTTTGAGAATTGAGATTTTTATTCCCTAAAGTTTTGAATCCAAAATCTCTCTCTAAAATAGATTTTGGAGAGAGACCGCATTTAAATAGATGAGTCGCCGGCCTCATAGAAACCTTGTCTAAAAGGTAAATGAAAAAGAATTGCAAACATGAGAAAATATTTTTAAAAATTGAAAAATATATATATAATATGAAATAAAAAAGTTGACGTTATTGGCTTGTAAAACAACGAAAAGTACGAAGAAAATAAAGATAAAAAAGAGAATAAATCATAAACTCTAAAAAACTTAAAGCAAAATATCAAATAAAGTACAAATCATTATAATTGAAATAACAAAAATAAATAAATTTATGGCTTTAAATTGAAAAAAGAGGAATGTACATGAAATTCGAGGCCAATTTCCTGATCTTTGTGCTATTTACGAATTGAGACTTGAAATCCTTGCTAAACCTTCCTCATGCAACCCCAATAGAAACTCCCCAAAATAGTTTTCGTTTCCAAATTTTTAAAATTAATGGAAATTTTGAATTTAGAATCTATAAACCACCCCTTTTTTTTTGTTTTTGTAAAAGAACTAGCCTATGGTTAGACTTAGATCACGAATGCAAAGATACACCCAGGGTTTAATATTTCGTCAAATATAGACCAGATTTGAAGAAAGCGAAGTTTTTCAAAAGGGTACCGACGCTCTAAACAATCGTACCTTCAAATAGTATTGAAAAATGTGGTTTCAATATTGGAAATCTTTGTAATAGCCTTAAAATATATCTTCATCTTTAATTATAAAATTTAAAGCTTCAAAACTAATGTAGATTGAGTAGTTCTATAAAAATTTGAAAATATTGAAAATTGACGGTCCAAAAATGCATTTCAAGATGCACTATTTCAAAAACTCGAAATCTTTTTATTTTTCATGTCAATGCATCTTGATGTCCAGATTATCAATTTCAGGATATTTGGGCATCAAAACAACCTCTTCTAGTGAAATTTTTGAGGTGGGCTTTAATTTGACTGTTTAAAGCATCGGCACTATATAAACTTTTTCCTTTTCAAAATTGAGGTTGAAAAAAATAAAAAACCACTTCTTAGATCTACTTGCAAGAAAACAAATTGTTTTTATCAAATCCAATGCTTCGAGTTACGGAAATCCAATTATTTTCTGGCATAATCAAGGTCTGAAACTTTAAAAAAAGTAGGGACATTTTAATAATTTATTACACCTAAAAGGCCCAACTAAATAACAGGAATAAGTTTGCTTGTTTAGGATAGATCAAATTACTAAAATGCTCTTACTTGTTGAGGATTTCTAGCCATAAATAAAAAAAATTTGAATATTTTAAAAATATGTTTTGAGGAGATACTTGAGTAAAATGAAAATTAAAGTAGCGTTAATTTGAATCATTTGACGTAATGATATTGTAAAGGGTTTTGACCTGTTGATATTTTCCAAAACAGAAATGTACATAGAGGAGAGCGAGGTAAATATTTTCTGGAACGTATTTCTAAAGTAAATTGATTTAACAGGAAAATGAGTTCTTAGGAAAGCATTTCCCTTATTTTCTAACCCACTTGGGATTCCTAGGAGAATTCATTTCTTTTTGTAGGAAACATATCTGGGAAACTATATTTTCGATCCTAGGAAGTAGCAATTTTCAACTGTTCATTAACATTTTTCATCGATTAGAGATTGATATTTGTTCGATTAGAGATTGATATTTGTTCTACGAAGCAAATTTTTTCAAAAATAATAATTCAGATGATACCTTCTTTGATAGACTCTCTTTCCCCCGCCTCCCAATCTATTGAAAGAACCTGAACTATGAACTCAAGAGCCTAATTTAGACTATTTACTTTTAGTACAAAAAGATCACATTTACTCTTGTCCATCGGATTTAAAATTGGTAGAGGTAAATGTGTGATTGACTAGATTCAAAATCCAAATAAATTTTTTGAACTTCATGACGCACCTCAAGTCATATCCAATTTGATATCTAATAGCTAGAAGTGATTGTAAACTCCTTATAATAATGATAAAAGGTCTCATAGATCACTGTCCCCAATAAAAAATGCAACACAACAAATTAGTCCAAAAAATGTCATTTGGCACTGTAACCGATTATAATTTAATTTTCCCATAATTTGCAGGCAAATTCGCTTTATGGATGCTTCCTCAGTTGTATGCTTATGCAGTCTATTTCCCAATACAAAAGTTTCTTCAATCTCAAAGGAAGGTCATGGTCATGGCTGTTATGGCAGGGAGTGTGCTTGTGTTTCATGTGTTTCTTAGCTGGTTGCTTATATTAAAGCTGAAATGGAGTTTAGCTGGAGGAGCAATCAGTCTAAATCTAGCATGGTGGATTCATGTTTTAGGCCAATTCAGCTACATAGTTGCAGGCTATTGCCCTGGTTCTTGGACTGGATTTTCATGGCTAGCCTTTCGAGATCTTTTTGGGTTTTTCAAATTGTCCTTAGCTTCTGGTGTTATGTTATGGTGAGCAATTTTATGGAGTTGTTCCTTTTTCTTCTTTTTTGTGTTTTTTTCTCATTAAAGGTTAACTTGGGATCTTGGTAGGAAATGAAACTCTGGATGTTATGATGTATAAATCTGCCACCTTGACGACCCAGGCCTAGAGGCCATTCCTAGGAAGCCATGGGCTGGGTAGTTGGGCCCGACCTGGTCGGCCCAGCTCTAGAAAACTACGGCTTCAGCCATAAAATGTGGCCCAATGGCCAATCGGGGCGGGTCTGGCCATAGCCACGAGATGACTATCCCGGGCCGGGCCATAGCCAGACCCTCTTTTTCTTTACATTCACTTGATTTATTTTCTTTTTTATTTTCCCGGCCTCTTTGGCCTTGTCAGGATCAGATGGGCCCGCTCCATAGGGACTAGGGCAGGGCTAGGGCCAAGGCCGTCCCGGCCCATTCCCAACCCTCAAGCAGCATTTTGTAGCCTAAGCCACCTAGCCAATGCCAGCTTAATGTTCCTTATTTTGCTTGCATGAATTGTATACTATGCACCTAACATAAATAAGAATATGAGAGAGAGAGATTTTTTCAAAATCAAAATAAATTTTTTTACTAATGTCTAATTCAATTTATTTACTTATTTATTTTGGGTCTTGATTAACTTCTTGTATGAATGTTTAGTTTGGAATTCTGGTACATGATGATACTCGTTGTCTTGGTTGGCCACCTTTCGAACCCTGAGATAGAAGTCGATGCCATGTCTGTCTGGTAAAAACTCGCCACTCCTTTTTTCTTACTGATATTGTGATTATATCTTTAGAGATTTATTATCTCCACTGACTTTCTTTAATTGTTTTGGCAGCATGAACATTGTTGGATGGCATATGATGATTTCACTTGGATTCAATGCAGCCATAGGGTAACCCACTCGAAACTAGGCCAATAAACGGGTTGGGATCCTGGTCGGGTTGGATGTGAACCGATAGGGTTTGAGCCTGACCCGGATTGGAGAAATATATATATATATATATATATATATATATATGAGAGCCATTTCGTGCAACTGTTCTATAGCAATATAATGAAAAAGCATTCGGAAACTATATTAGGACCAATTGTTCGGCCCCAGTTATGAAAGGGAGTCACTACTGTACGCCCATATGCATTCTGTAGTCGATTTGACGCTCACGGATGTCCAATAGTATTTGAATTTTAATTTTTTTCTACAAATCCAAATCACTTGAAATTTTAGACGTGTGTTCTTCTCATCAAGACTCACCTAATAAAAATATAAACAAAAATAATTCGCGAAAAGAAATTAACCAAAATACCCCACGAAACGTTTTTGAGGTATTTTGGTCAATTTATTTCATGTAAAAATTTATTTTGATATTTTTTCGTAGATTTACCTATTTTTAAATAACACACGTCTAAAATTTCAAATGATTTGGAATTGTAGAAAAAAAAAATTTAAAATTCAAACACTATCGGACATCTGTGATCGTCAGATTGGCCCAGATTCAATCTGGGTGGTGGGCATTTACTGTAGCAGTACGCACCTGGGCGCTCAACATCTTTTCCCATTATTAAATGTACACTTTTTTCATTCCAATGAATAATCATAAAGAAGAAAAAATTGAAAATACACCTACACTCAAAAAGTGTTTATTTAGCTCAATTTAAGTGAGACGCTTAGATCTAGGTTTTAGAAGGATTCTCACCCTTTCTAAATTTCTTAGATGGCTATATTGTCATTAGATGAACAATATTAGAAGAAAAAAATAATTTTGGGTTTTTAAAAGTGTTGATCATGGAAATCATGAAATGGATGGTCCAGATTCATTGTTGAAGGATACTCATTTTGAGAATATCTAGGGTGCAAATTGAATTGTTTTTTTTTACATTTATTATTAGGATGAAGATAGGGTGTGTTCAAGTTTTGAGGTCATACAAATACCACAAACATGATTTTCTAAAGGAAAAAGTTTATATAAGGTTGTAACCTTAAAATGTAGAAATATAGATGCACCTCAGAACTCTATTGGAGAAGGTTGTTTTAATATTGAAAACCCTTCTAGTTGATCATCTCGACATGGAAATATATGAATACGACAAAAAAATATATTTTGAGTACCAAAAATAGTGCATCTTACAACACATTATCTAAACCATCCATTTTTAAGATTTTCATATGTTTACAGATCTACTTGATTTTAACCATTATTGGAATTTAAAATTTTATAATTAGATATAAAAATAGATTTTAAGATAATCCTAATAATTTCTTACACCAAAATTAGTTGTTACGACAAAATTTGGAGGTACACCTTAATTGGATTGTTTAAGGTTGCATCCTTATAGAAACCACACCCTTTTCTAAAAGTATAGTTTCGTTATATTATAGACATATATGGGAGATTGATTTTATGCAATAATTTTATACTAATATCTTGAAATACACTTTCAAAAATTATGCTAGGGGCATCGGTATGAGCCTATTTTTCTAAAGTACACTATAATGAACAAACTTTAAAAAAAAAAAAAAATTCAGAAATGCATCCTGGGACAATTAGATCTGTGCCTTATCGGGAATTTTCTTTTTATTCCAGACTTTACAGATGGTAAATTCATCAGTAGATGGACAATTTCTTAAAAGCATCAATCGCAATTTCTACCCAATATATGGTTTGGAATCATGGTTTAAAAGGATTAATTCGATCTTTAGAGTGCAAATTCAATTTCTATCTTTTTGGCATTGATTGTCGGGATGAAAATAGTGTTTATAGAAAATTCGAAGTCATGCAAATGCCACAAAATTGATTTTTTTTTAAAAGGACGATTATTCCATTATATTATTAATAAAAAAATGAAATGAAATGATTTCAAAAGTTAATACAAAAGAAATCTCACAATAACACTCAGTCTCCTGATTATCTGACTGATAATTCCGCTTTCATCTTACATTCTTAATTGGTAATTAAGTTCTTTCATTGACTGAAAGATAATCACAAAAAGTATTCACCAATTTGGATATAGAACAAGTCATCCTTAATATTCACATTTGGTAATTCTCTAATATTGAACTGATATTTTGGTGTTTATTGTGTCCTAGAGTGAGAGTATCGAATGAGCTCGGGGCCGGAAATTACAGAAAGGCTAAACTTGCGGTTTATGTGGTCTCTGTGACCTCAATTGCAGTAGGCATTGTATGTATGGCTGTGATCTTAATAACCAGAAATGAATTCCCTTCACTTTTCACTAATAGCTCAGCAGTAAAGAAGGAAGCCACAAAGATTTCAGGCTTATTGGCATCCACACTGATCTTAAACAGCTTGCAACCAGTTCTAGCAGGTTCCTAAAAGTCCACTTCTCATTTCTCTCTTTCTCAAATGAAGTAGAGATAGTTTGCCTTATTTTCAGCAGTTTTTTATGCATTGATGAGTGTTTTAATCATTGGACAGGGGTTGCCATTGGAGCTGGTTGGCAAGCTTTGATTGCTTATATCAATGTGGGGTGCTATTATATTGTTGGGCTGCCTCTTGGCTGCATCTTGGGCTATAAATTGAATCTTGGGTTGCTGGTATAGCAGTCAAAATATAGTGATTATGAGTTTTTCCTCCATTTCTTTCTGATATTACAAGATATTAAGTATGTTCATGTCATAACTTTGGGTTCTCTGTTAGGGTCTCTGGGGAGGGCTGATTGGTGGGACAATCTTGCAGACCATAATCTTGGCAATATTGACAGCATGCACTGACTGGAAGAAAGAGGTGATGCATTAATTTCTTAATCCTAATGTTCTCTCTATCTTAGTCGAGTATATGGGTCGGGTCGGGCTCGAGTCAACCTTGTCCCGGCTGTGTAATCAGGTCCTGTTGGTTGGAGTTCACTGAACCTACCCAATGAGGTCTAGGATGGACATGGACCCACGTCAAATAGACCTGAGCCCGACCAACCAGATCCAATATCCAGGTCCACATATGGATCCAGATTAGGTCGACCTCGTCAAGTCAACCGGACCATTCTCTCTCTCTCATAGTGAATCTATATTAAGTTGCTTTCAGTTTTCATTAAGGAAAATAGAAAAGAGGATAGACCAGTGTAGGAAAAATCGAACTGGTACGGTTAACTGGACATGGCATGGAAGCGGTTCAACCGGCCTAATCGGTAAATCGGCTAGTTCAACCATTATAACAAGGCAAGTCCTGGGCGGTTAAAAAGGTGTTAAAAAAATACACAAAAAAAAAAGTAATAGATTATGAATAGTATATTTAAAGGATGATTAAACAATGTACATCCAAATAAAGTTGAAAATTAATGAAAAAAAATAAAAATGTTAAATAATTGATTTGTACCCAAAGGTATTTTTTAAAAAAATTTTAAAAAAGAGAAAATATAAAAATAAATATTAATGACCACAACAATTTCCATTTTTTTCCATAGTGAACAAAAACATTAAAAAATACATTACAAACAAAATCTCTTATTTTTTGGGATTTTATGTAATTTTTTAAAAAATACCCAGTCAGTCACCAAAACCGGCCAAAACAATGGCCGGTTCCGATCTAACCGGGTGGTTACCGGTTAGAACAGATGATTTTTCCAATAATGTGGAGACAATCTATATATTGATTGATTTTCCTGAAAATATTGAAATATATTATGTGGAAGTTTAAATACCGCTAAAATACCTTTGGAAGTTGGTATGAAGTAACCCATACTAGGTCAGTTTTCTACTAAGATTTCTGAAAACAAATAAGCAAATCTTATATAACATAAGATATGCTAGAATTTGCCCCAGAATAAAAGGGGTTCACTACTGTTTCATGTGAACTTGGGTAGGCTGAACTATAGAATCATTTATAATATGGAATAGATTAGGTGGATGGTTTACTGTCATAGAGTTCCAAACAACATGCAAGGAATATCTCATGTTTTAGCAAACAGCAAAATTACCCAATTTCTTTAGATCATGAACCCAGATCAAGAATTAAGTATTTTGATTGTCACAGACATACAAACTGTTTAATTGTCTCCCTCGAGGTGCAAAGGATCGGATTTGCAGTAATTTTAGTAAACTTTGGATATATGCAGGCTTCTGTTGCGGAAAACCGAATTAAGAAATGGGGTGGTTCTGTAGGAAATGAAGATGATGAACATTCGCAGGGAACGCCTTCGTGATTTTTTATTTTTTTATTTTTTGGTGAATTCTTCTTAGTGTTCTTCCTGATTAATAATAAAAAAAAAAAATTTACATAGAGCCGATACTCTAAACAGTCAAATTAGAACTCACCTCAAAAAAATTCAATAGAAAAGGTTGTTATGATGCGTCAATATTCTCAAATTGATCATCTCGACATCAAGATGCAATTTCAATAGAAAACGTTGTTTTGATGCCCAAATATTCTCAAATTGATCATCTCGACATCAAGATGCATGGACATGAGAAAGAAATGGATTTCAAGTTTTGAAAATAGTGCATCTTCTAATGCATTTTTTTATTGTCAAATTTCAATATTTTCAAGTTTTTATAGATCTGCTCGATCTACAACATTTTTTGAAGCTTTAAGTTTTATAATTAGAATAAAAATATATTTTAAGGCTATCACAAAGATTTTCAGTATTGAAACTACATTTCTCGACATTATTTAAAGGTGTGCTCTACTTTGATTGTTTAGAACTTTGACTCTTCACAAACTGCACCCTAAAAAAAATAACAAAATGAATTGAAAATGATGCCATGTTAAACCTACGTGATCAAAGGGCCCCCCAATGCATGTGGTTGTGGATTTAGATGGTTGCTCGGCTTTGGGAGATTCTAGAGAGTTGTTCGGTGATACAAACACGTCGATGTATTTAAGAGAGTTGTTCAGTAATACAAACACCAAACAGCAAGGAACTACAACTCTTATCAGAATTACACCGCTTAACAAAAAAGCTAGTTGTCCAATAATACGAGCCCTCATTTCATTTGAAATAAAGCTAGTTGTCCAATAATACGAGCACTTCCTTACATTTGAAATTAGAATAGATATGTTGCCCGGTGTTGTGATTGCCAGATAGAAATTGAAATTAGAATCGATATGTTGCCCGGTGTTGCGATTGTCGGATAGAAAGGCAACTAAGGAAAAAAAAATTAAGCCGTCTGGGTGGTACTCATAATTTACAGCAACAGCCACAAGTTTCTTGACATAATTTGCTCATATTATTAAAAGTTTAACCCATTATTCCCTGCATACTTATAAATCATATAGAATAAGGCTTACAACATAAAAAATTTATCTACGATAAGTTTATTACTACTGCATGAGATAAAGAATAGGGGTTTTACTAGCTCCAAAACTTCCAATGAGGCTTTTATGGTTGCGGTGAATCACCATGCCTCGTGCTCTCTCTCTCTACTCACCTCCCAAGCACCACCGCCACCACGACCATCACATGGCGCCCCCACCGCCGCGAGAGCCATGGATCTCTTTGGTGCATGCAGCACCACCCACCATGCACGCCAGCTCCACGCTTTCCTTCTTGTCTCCGGCCGCTCCCGCAGCCCCATCGTCGCCACCAAACTCATCAGCCTCTACGCCTTCCTCGGAAACCTCCCCCTCTCTCTCCTCTCCTTCCGCTCCCTCCCAGACAAGAACGTCTTCACCTACAACTCCGCCATCTCTGCTTGTGTCCGCCTCAATTCCCCCCTCGATGCCCTCCGCATATTCTCCCGCCTCGCTCCGCCATCACCCGACCGCTTCACTTTCCCCGCGGTCCTCAAGGCCTGTGCTGCATTGCTCGACCTCCGTCATGGCAGTGCCTTGCACTCCTGGGCTTTCAAGGCGGGCTGCAAGGTAGATGTATTCGTGGCCTCCTCGCTTGTGCACATGTATGCAAAGTGCAGGGCACTCGATGATGCACGCCAAGCGTTTGATGAGATGCCTGTGAGGGATATTGGTGCTTGGAATGCGATGATTTCTGCGTATTGCCAGAATGGGCAGGCAGCAGAGGCAGTTCGGACTGTTTGAGGAGATGAGGGCAGCAGCATTGTCCAATGGGCTGCACTTGGATTCAGTTACGGTTGCCTCTGTGCTCCCTGCATTCCCCCCGATAGGTGATGTTATGAGGGGCAGATTGGTGCATGGGTGCAGCGAGAAGTGCGGCCTGGTGGGAGACATATACGTCTCTAACGCTCTGATTGACATGTATGCGAAATGTGGGTTTCTTGCTGATGCCCAACAAGTATTTGATGAGATGGAACAGAGAGATGTGGTTTCTTGGAATGCTTTGATATCGGCCTATGAGCAAGAGGGTGACCCGCTTTCCACCCTTGATTTGTATGCTGAGATGAAATGTGATGGATTCTCGCCTGACGAACTGACCATCGTAAGTCTGGCTTCAGCATGCGTGCTGATTGGGGATTGCTTAAGGGGTCGGTCGGTTCATGGTTACATCATGAGGCATAGGTTTGGGCGAGAGGACGTGTTTGTTGGCAATGCGATTGTGGATATGTATGCGAAGGCTGGAAGGACTGAAGACGCGAGAAAAGCTTTCGAGGAGATGCCTCGTAGAGACGTAGTATCGTGGAATACAATGATCACCGGATATGCGCAGAATGGGCTGGCCGAGGAGTCTATCGAATTGTACAATCGAATGTTACAATGCAGTGGCTTTCCACCAGACCAGGGTACACTGGTGAGTGTTCTTCCTGCGTGCTCCCATGTTGGGGCATTCCAACAAGGGCTACGAATCCATGGACTCGCAGTTAGAATGGGCTTGGAGTCTGACCTTTTTGTGGGCACCTGCCTCATTGATATGTATGCGAAATGTGGGAGATTGAATGAGGCGTCATGTCTATTTGAGCATGTTCCAAAGAAGAGCTCGGTCCCATGGAACGCCATCATCTCTGGACATGGGGTTCATGGACATGGCCACAAAACCCTCAAACTGTTTGAAGAGATGCAAAAAGAAGGCGTGAAACCAGACCATGTCACATTTGTCTCCTTGCTCTCAGCTTGTAGCCATGCCGGCCTGGTCGATCAAGGCCAACGTTGCTTTGATAAGTTGCTACATGACCATAATGTTGCCCCCACATGCAAACACTATGCATGTATGGTGGATCTTCTAGGCCGGGCAGGGCGGCTCGAGGCCGCCCATGACCTCATAAATAGCATGCCGATGAGGCCCGATGCCAGTGTCTGGGGTGCTCTCCTTGGGGCTTGTAGAATTCATGGGGACCTCAAATTGGCAGGGCATGTTTCAAAAAAACTGTTTGAACTAGACCCGCAAAATGTCGGCTACTATGTTTTAATGTCAAATATCTATGCCACTGCCTCTAAATGGGAGGGGGTGGCGAAGGTGAGGTCTCTAGCAATGGAGCAAGGACTGAAGAAAACCCCCGGTTGGAGCTCAATCGAGGTGAGTAGCCATGTCCATGTTTTCTTCACTGGAAGTAGATCTCACCCTCGATTCGAAGAGATATATGACAAGCTCGAATCATTGCTGGGACGGATCAAGAGCATCGGTTATGTCCCGGATTTCAGCTATGTATTGCAGGATGTCGAGGAAGATGAGAAGGAGAACATTCTCAATAGCCACAATGAAAGGTTGGCAATCGCATTCGGGATCATCAGCACAGCCCATGGAATGCAGATTCAAATTTTTAAGAACTTGCGTGTGTGTGGAGATTGCCACAATGCCACCAAGTTCATTTCGAAGGTGGAAGAGAGGGAGATCGTCGTGAGGGATGCAAATCGCTTCCATCGTTTCAGAGATGGGATCTGCTCTTGTGGGGATTACTGGTGATTCTGAAAATTTTTGGCAGAATACCCTCTTCTCATTAAGTCACCAAACGTTTCATCAGCTGGTGATCATGAAACAATTCAAACATTTATTTGGGAAAAGAAAATAAAGGGACTTTTTATGCAACACTCAAGAGTTTATATATATATATATATAA